CGCGCGCTCTCTCTCTCTCTCTCTCTCTCTCTCTCGCTCACTCCCGCTCTCTCTCTCTCTCTTTCTCTCTCTCTCTCTCTCGCTCTCTCTCTCTCTCTCTCTCTCTCCTCTCTGCTCTCTTCGCTACTGGCTTCTGACTGAGTCTGGGTTAGGTGAGCCTGAGTGTGGGTGAGTCTGAGTATGGGTACGTATGTGTGTGCCTGACTCTGAAGAAATGAATCTGAGTGTGAGTGAGCTTGTGTATGAGTGAGTCTGGGTGCGAGTCTGAATCCCAATGGTGCCCCTGGCAGTGTCTGGCGACTAGGAGGCCCGGGTCGACTCCTCTTTTGGAAGCCAAAATGCTGCCCCTGGCAGCGTTTGGTGACTATGAAGCCCCTGGTGGACCCCCCTTGGGGCTCCCAAATGATGCCCCTGGCAGCGTTTTGTGACCATGAGGCTCTCAAGAGATACATGTTGGGGACGCCAAACGGCAATTCTAGTTGAGGCGTCCCACCAAAATCGGCGCGAACGGACTCGTGAGATCAGCCAGGGTGGCTCCCCCTTGGGGCTCCCAAATGATGCCCCTGGCAGCGTTTTGTGACCATGAGGCTCTCAAGAGATACATGTTGGGGACGCCAAACGGCAATTCTAGCTGAGGCGTCCCACCAAAATCGGCGCGAACGGGCTCGTGAGATCAGCCAGGGTGGCCCCCCCTTGGGGCTCCCAAATGATGCCCCTGGCAGCGTTTTGTGACCATGAGGCTCTCAAGAGATACGTGTTGGGGACGCCAAACGGCAATTCTAGCTGAGGCGTCCCACCAAAATCGGCGCGAACGGGCTCGTGAGATCAGCCAGGGTGGCTCCCCCTGGGGCTCCCAAGTGATGCCCCTGGCAGCGTTTTGTGACCATGAGGCTCTCAAGAGATACATGTTGGGGAGGCCAAACGGCAATTCTAGCTGAGGCGTCCCACCAAAATCGGCGCGAACGGGCTCGTGAGATCAGCCAGGGTGGCTCCCCCTTGGGGCTCCCAAGTGATGCCCATGGCAGCGTTTTGTGACCATGAGGCTCTCAACAGGTACATGTTGGGGAGGCCAAACGGCAATTCTAGCTGAGGCGTCCCACCAAAATCGGCGCGAACGGGCTCGTGAGATCAGCCAGGGTGGCTCCCCCTTGGGGCTCCAAAGTGATGCCCTTGGCAGCGTTTTGTGACCATGAGGCTCTCAAGAGATACATGTTGGGGGCGCCAAACGGCAATTCTAGCTGAGACGTCCCACCAAAATCGGCGCGAACGGGCTCGTGAGATCAGCCAGGGTGGCTCCCCCTTGGGGCTCCCAAGTGATGCCCCTGGCAGCGTTTTGTGATCATGAGAGAGTGTGAGTGTGAGTGAATGTGACTGTGAGTGAGTCTGAGTGAGAGTCAGTCTCATCTTATCTTATCGAGTCCTATCTTATCTTACATTTATCACCTCTATCTTATATTATCTTGAAATCTCTTATCTGGTCTTAGCTTATCTTATATCAACTCATCTTATCGCATCATATCTTGTCTTATCTTATTACTGCATAGGCTGTCTTATCTTATCTATTATCCTACCTTGTCATATATCTCATCTTACCTTATCATATCTTGTGCTATCTTATCTTATCTTGTAGTATCTTATCTTGTCTTGTCTTATCTGGTGATTATCATTGGGAGGAGGGAGGCGGGAGGCGGGAGGAAAAAGGAGGAGGAGGAGTGGGAGGCGTCAGAGTAATAGCAAGAACCCCAATCCTTAGGATATGGGGAACAATCGGGGAATCAGTGATTTTGGCTTCTTCGGGCCCAGTTGGAGGACCTATTGGGGCGTCTTGACGCCTTATTCGGCCGCCCTGGGGCCATCTTGGTCCGTCTTCGAGGCCTCTTGGGCCATCTTGGTTGTCTTGGGTGCCTGTCGGGGTCGTCTTGGAGGCTTCGGACGCGGACACATAGTTTTTTACGAGTGGTCTTGGCCTCGGGAGCGCGGATCCATGTTTTTTCGAAGGGATCGTGGCCTTGTGAGCAGGGTGTGTGCATGCGCCTGTCTGGTATCAGATGGAGGGGGCTCCTCATCAAAAGTCAAAAACCCTACAGAGCAGCATCTGGCATTCTGACACGCCCACATCGTGCCGTGCAGGCACGGTGGCGGTTTTAGGATGATGATAATGATGATGATGCTGCTGCTGCTGATGATGATGCTGATGCTGATGCTGATGCTGATGCTGATGCTGATGCTGCTGATGCTGATGCTGCTGTTGATGATGATGCTGATGCTGATGATGATGCTGCTGATGATGATGATGATGATGATGATGGTGATGATGATGATGATGATGATGGTGATGATGATGATGAGGATGATGAGCACGAGGACGAGGACGAGGACGAGGACGAGGACGAGGATCAGGATGAGGATGAGGATGAGGATGAGGATGATGATGATGATGATGATGATGATGATGATGATGATGATGATGATGATGATGATGATGATGGTGGTGGTGCTGGGTGGTGCCGGTGGGGGTTGGGGGTGGGGGTGGTGGTGGTGGTGATGATGAGGATGCGGATGAGGATGAGGATGTAGGATGAGGTGAGGATGATGAGGATGATCGGGATGATGAGGATGATGAGGATGAGGATGAGAGATGAGGATGATGAGGATGATGAGGATGGATGAGGATGAGATGATGATGATGAGATTGATGATGAGATGATGATGATGATGATGATGAGATGATGATGATGATGATGATGATAATGATGATGATGATGATGATGATGATGATGATGATGATGATGATGATGATGGTGGTGGTGGTGGTGGTGGTTGATGATGATGATGATGATGATGATGATGATGAGGAGAAGGAGGAGGAGGAGAAGGAGGAGGAGGAGGAGGTGGGTACGGGTACGGGTCCCCCGACGGGGGGGCAGCCCCCGTACCTTGCGCCGATGTCGGGGTGGTGTCGTGCGGCGGCGGCCTACCCTGGCGGTGGGGCTGCACCGGAGGCGCCTGGCGGTGGGACCGCACCGGAGGCGCCTGGCGGTGGGACCGCACCGGGGGCGGCAGCGGGGGCGGCTGGGTCGCGTAGGTGGTGCGGACACGCGGTCCGCTGCTGGAGGAGGAGGTGGAGGAGGAGCAGGAGGAGGAGGAGGAGGTCGGTCGGTCGGTCGATCACGGACCTCGAGAGGCTCAGTCATCTGAGCCCTGCCGGGAGGGTGCAAACATCAAAGTTCGCCTGCAGCCTATAGGAGGATGAGGAGGAGGATGAGAAGGAGGATGAGAAGGAGGAGGAGGAGGATATTGTAGTTGAGGAGGAGGAGGACGAGGGGGAGGAGGAGGAGGAGGAGGAGGAGGAGGAGAGGAGGGGAGTGAGGAGGAGGAGGAGGAGGAGGAGGGGAGGAGGACGAGGAGGAGGAGGAGGAGGCGGACGACGACGACGACGACGATGACGGCGGCGACAGCGGGGGCGACGAAAAACTATGGCAACGACGTGCTCGCGCCGAGCAGCTTTCGGCGGCCCCGGCGGCAATAGCGCGGGGGCCGCCAGGCTGGCCCAGCCGGGCGGCGCTGTCTGCCGCTTCGGCGGCCCTCGGCGGCCCTCGGCGGCCTTCGGCGGCCCTCGGTCGCGGCGGAGGCGGCGGCGGTGGCGACGATGGCAGCGGAGGATGGGGAGGGAGGGGATGATGAGGATGAGGAAATAGGAGTCGGGTTGGCGAATGGGGGAGGATGAGGATGAGGATGAGGATGAGGGTATAGGGAGATGGAGGATAGGAGCGGTGCGGTGGTGGTGAGGTGGGGGGAGAGAGGTTGAAGAGGAAGGGGGGAGGATAAAAGGAGGAACAGGGCGAGGAAGCAGGAGGAGGCGGAGGAGCAGATGCAGGAGGAGGCGACGCCGTGTCATTGAAAGAGATGGGTCGTTCAGACTGTGGCCAGAAGTGCATTCGGCGAGAGCGAACAGAACGCAAGGTAAAATTGCATACCGTCTCGGAGGGCACCACCGCCCCAGAGGGACGCGCACTTGCCGATCGAGGCCCACCGCCGCAGAGGGACATGCCAAGCGCGAAGCGCTGGACACCCAGAGTGCATACCGGCCTCGAGCAAGGCTGCACGAGGATACGGTGCACGCTTGAGTATGGCTGCGCGTGACACTCGCGGGAGCGCGCCGCACGCGAGGAAGAGTTGCCTACGCAGTGCGACGGCAGGCATCCGCTGTTCACCGCAGTCCGCCGACGCCCAGATCCATCCCGCCCTGAGTCAGCGAAGGTGCAGAGGGTGGGGGCGAGCATCATTTCAGCTGCCGGCCGTAACTCCTGCTTATGATGCAACCTCTGGGAGATTGAATTCAGCATCGGCGCCGGTCGAAAACCCGCATATCCTGGCATAATCCCGCTTAACCCAGCTGAATCCCATTTGATCCCACGTAGTATGGCCTGATCCTGCTTAATCAGTGGCCCCTTAATCGGCCTTGGCAGCCCTGAAGATCCTGGAGGTTTTCCAGCCTCGGGGTGCTTTCCAGCAACTGCGCCTCGCCGAGGGCGTTCCAGGGGGCCTGGATCCTCCCTGACGGCCGCCCGATAACCAGTTATGACGCGAAAGACTCGTCGACGTCCTCGTCGAGCGAGCACCTGAGGAGCGACACGTGGCCCTCGCCTGCAGCCCCCGCACGGCGCTCGCATGGCGCTGGCCACCACCTCGCCAAAAAGGAGGAGGAGGAGGAGGAGGAGGAGGAGGAGGAGGAGGAGGAGCAGGAGCAGGAGGAGGAGGAGGAGGAGGAGGAGGAGGAGGAACAGTCTGGATAGACTTCGAGCCGTAATCCAAGTCCAAGTCCAAGGAGCAGCAATGGGAATGGGATGGGGGCTGAGGAGGCGAAAGGAGGCGCAGTTGACGGAGCTTACATGTCACCCAGAAAATCCAGCTGCTTGCTGTAAACCTCGCCGCCGTGCCAGCGCAGCAGCGAAGCAGAAAGAAGGTTGAGTTCAAGACCTCCTCAAGTTCAGTGTCCCCTCTTCCTTCATCATTTGTCCTTTTTCCCCCTCTTCTTCGCCTCCCTCCTCCCATGTTGAAGGCATTCTGCAGGCCACTGGGGGGCTTCTTTGCATTTTGAAGGCCTTACGGCCAGTGCCGCCGACCCAGAAGGACGACGACGACCACCACGACGACGACCACGACGACAAAGATAACGACGAGCTGATGATCCTGCAACATGCTCAGGACATGGGTCACGCGGCGCCTTGCAGCTGTTTTAGCGCAGTCGTTGGCTGTCCTGGACCCGTTTGGAAGCTGAAGCGTACGCTCCTGGGACTTTCTTGGGGTGCTCTTGGGGCCGTTTTCGTATATATACATGTAACGGCGCACCGGGTCCGGGGGCCCGGGGCCGGGACCTCGACCACAAATGTGCGCCCCGGGGGGCCCGGAGGCTCGTCGGGGCTTGCCGGAGGCCTCCCTGGTCAGACAAGACGGCCCCAGGAGCGCCCAAGACGGCCCAAGATGGCCCATTCCCTTCGTAACACGTACATTTTTCAACAAAGTTGCTTTTTGGGCTTTCCGACGTTACAGGACGGCCCACGAGGCGCCCAAGACCGCCCCAAGACGGCCCAAGAAGCCCCCAGGACAGCCCAAGAGGGCCCCAAGACGGCCCAAGAGGCGCCCAAGATGGCCCAAGAGGGCCCCAAGACGGGCCCAAGAGGGGGTCCAGAGGGGGACCACGAACCGCAAGCTCGAGCCGGAGGCCCCTCAAGAGGCCCCAGGAGACCCCAGACGTCCAAGGACGCCCCCAAGACGCCCCAAGAAGCCTCCAACATGCGTCCCAAGAGGGCCCCTAGACGCAAAAGTTGGCCCATTCCCTTCGTAAAACGTACATTTTCAACAAAGTCGCCTTTTGGGCTTTCCGACGTTACAGGACGGCCCAAGAGGCGCCCAAGACCGCCCCAAGACGGCCCAAGAAGCTTCCAAGAGGGCCCCAGGACAGCCCAAGAGGGCCCCAAGACGGCCCAAGAGGCGCCCAAGATGGCCCAAGAGGGCCCCAAGACGGGCCCAAGAGGGGGCCCAGAGGGGGACCACGAACCGCAAGCTCGAGCCTTCCGCCCCAAGAGGCCGCCAGGAGGCCCCCAGGAGGCCCCTCAAGAGGCCCCAGGAGACCCCAGACGTCCAAGGACGCCCCCAAGACGCCCCAAGAAGCCTCCAACATGCGTCCCAAGAGGGCCCCTAGACGCAAAAGTTGGCCCATTCCCTTCGTAAAACGTACATTTTCAACAAAGTTATCTTTTGGGCTTTCCGACGTTACAGGACGGCCCAAGAGGCGCCCAAGACCGCCCCAAGACGGCCCAAGAAGCTTCCAAGAGGGCCCCAGGACAGCCCAAGAGGGCCCCAAGACGGCCCAAGAGGCGCCCAAGATGGCCCAAGAGGGCCCCAAGACGGGCCCAAGAGGGGGCCCAGAGGGGGACCACGAACCGCAAGCTCGAGCCTTCCGCCCCAAGAGGCCGCCAGGAGGCCCCCAGGAGGCCCCCCCCTCAAGAGGCCCCAGGAGACCCCAGACGTCCAAGGACGCCCCCAAGACGCCCCAAGAAGCCTCCAACATGCGTCCCAAGAGGGCCCCCCAGACGCAAAAGTTGGCCCATTCCCTTCGTAAAACGTACATTTTCAACAAAGTTCGCCTTTTGGGCTTTCCGACGTTACAGGACGGCCCAAGAGGCGCCCAAGACCGCCCCAAGACGGCCCAAGAAGCTTCCAAGAGGGCCCCAGGACAGCCCAAGAGGGCCCCAAGACGGCCCAAGAGGCGCCCAAGATGGCCCAAGAGGGCCCCAAGACGGGCCCAAGAGGGGGCCCAGAGGGGGACCACGAACCGCAAGCTCGAGCCTTCCGCCCCAAGAGGCCGCCAGGAGGCCCCCAGGAGGCCCCTCAAGAGGCCCCAGGAGACCCCAGACGTCCAAGGACGCCCCCACGACGCTTCGCGTCACCAATTTCTTCTCACAACGATTCCTGGGTCTGTGACTCGACAGAACCTAAGCGCGCGCGAAGCGCGCGCGTGGTTCTAGTATATATATATATATATATATATATCGGGTGTGTCCGGTTGCTCTCTGAAGCCTTCCGAGGCGATCTGAAGCAGAAAAGCCTCGGAAGCAAACACACATTTTTTGATGGTTTTCGAAGCGATGCGTCTCTGAGGGCCTCGCTGGAGCCCTCCTGTAGGCCTCCCTCCTTTCCCCCCCCTTCCTTTTCCTCTGCTTCTCTCCCCTCCCCTGGCGTGCAAGGCATGTGCGAAGGTACATGGCCTTCACGCGCAGCGCGTCTGAAGCCCTTGCGATTGCACCGGTGCAATGCGGTCGAGGCAACCGGTTTGCCGGGTGTGCGAGGTTGACTCAATCGCGGGCATTGTGCATTTTTTCCGACACCGGCATGTGGAGTAGTTAGTCGGATGATCGGAGCACCCTGGGCGTTTTTGGGAGACTTCTCGGGGCCTCTTGCATCCTGGGAAGACTTTGCAGCCTTGAGACCTCGATGGGCCGTCTTCGGACGGTCTGCCTCCTGGCTGTTTTGTGTTGGTCTTTGGCTGTCCTGGAGTCATCTGGAGGCAAAAAAGGGCTCCCGAGAGCAATCGGGCGCGGTTTTCAGAACTCACCCCTGCGTCGACGGTGCAATGAAGGGGGGGTGGCCCTAAAAACAGTGAAAGGAATCTTGCGAGATAACCAGCAGAGCATTCTAACACGTCCCAACGTGCCGCTGGTACGGTGGCGGACATGTAGTAGTCGTAACCAGCATAGTATGCGTGGTTGGCGTCGTTGACGTGAGTGGCGTTGACGTGTGGAAGTTCCATGCGCAGACGTAGAGGTAGTGGAGCTGTATACCAGATGTCCACTTGATCCGCGCATCTCCATGTCCAGTTGCTGACGAGGGTGCCATGGGACCTACGATGCAAACTCCAAAACATGCTCAGCTATTATACACACCTGCAACCTGGACAAAACACTGATGCGCAGATGGCTCCTGACTCATACAGTCTAAGTCAAATTTTAGAGGACTGCAGTCGAGATCCTCGAAAGACCCCGGATGGTTCCCAAACACCCTGGAACACCCAGAGGTCCACAGAGATCCAGGATACACGATCATCACTGGCGCCATCATCGCCATCGCCAGTACTGGCGAGGAGCGTCCCCACATGGTCGATTTCCTGCCCCCACATACACAACGTTTTCATTTCGGACTCACAAGCTTACCTTGGGTCCTGAGCGTTTTACTCAGTTGACAAGTGACTATGCACTATCATCTTGGCAAGCATGCAGCTGAAGGTGTGAGCGAATGCATTCGTCAACAACGTCATCCGCAGGCGTTTCTCTGGCGACCACTTCCTGACTGCCAGCAGATCGCATCTGGCAGACGTTCTGTGTGCCAAGCATTCGTCTACGATGAAAGTAGTTTTTGCATGCTCTGCTCATGTCGGCCATTTGAACCCCACTCTTCCTGTGGTGAAGGCGCTGGTCAGCTTGGGGCACGAGGTTCATTACATTTGTTTTGAGACGATGCGAGCCAAGATCGAATCCGCTGGAGCAAAGTTTCATTCGTGTGAAGATATCCAACCAGAGCTTTATGCACGGCGCTCGTTAGCCCCTGGTGGCATAGGAGCCTGTAACGCTATCATGGGCGAGCTTGGTCTCGATACCTCATCGGTCTTGTCGATGCTGATGACGTTGAACTTATCTCTGGAGAAAGAGTTACCAGGGACCTTGCGTTTCTTCAAGGATATTCGGCCAGATGTCGTAGTGTATGATCCGCTCGTCTTCTGTCGGTATGCTGCGCATGGTGCTGCAGTTATGGGTATTCCAGCTGTCGGACTGCTGACGCTCGCAGGACCTGGGGCCATGCGCTTACATACACCTGCCGTCTTGCACCCCTTGACCATTGCGGACATAGATTATGCGGTGCGTGAGTTTACTCCTCATGCCGAAGCCACAGCTCGCATTAATGACAAACACAGCATGCAATTGCGGCCTGGAATCTTGTTTCCAGATGGCTACATGGATTCCTGCCGTGGCAATACCATTATTGTAACGACTTCGGAAGACTTGCAAGACCCGATGACTCCAGAGCTATCCGCAGCTTACACGCAGGATGGCGCAAGATTTGAGTATGTCGGGCCCCTGCTCGCGCTGGCTTCTCAGGAGATATTGCAGGACAAGCATGCTGGGAATTCAACAGGCTGATGCTACACCCGCCGGTACACATCGATTCGAGTGAACACGGCCGGTTGGGCTCTCCCTCCGCTCCTGCTGCTCTTCATCCTCCTCATCTTCGTCTCTTCTTCCTCCTCCTCCGCCTCCTTCTTCTCTCCCTCCTCCTCCTCTTCCTCCTCCCTTTCCTCTTCCTCCCCTTCCGGTAATCTCGGCCGCAGCCAGTTCTAATCGGGGTCAGAGGGTCATGCCACCACAGAATCCTCATCGGGGGCCACCAGGTCCCGTCTTGGTGTCCAGGTCTCGCACACTCACTCACAATCCATACGCCGTCCTGTGCGTGGGCAAGAAATCAAGCTCAAACAATCGCAAGCAGAAGCGGGTGAAATTCTGCGCTTGCTAATCAGGGCAGGGAGAGGAGGACGGGAAGGAGGAGGAAGAAGAGAAGCAGCAGCTCTCAAGAAGATGAAGGGGACGAGGAGGAAGAAGGGAAGGCGAGGAAATTATCCCAGTGCGACCCTACCTAGGAGTTGGAGCCTCTAGGAAAGCAACATTAGTAGGAGCGGTAAACGCCGTCCTCCTCCTTCTCCTCATCGTCGTAGTTGTAGCAGTAGCGGTAGTAGTAGTAGTAGTAGTAGTAGTAGTAGTAGTAGTAGTAGTAGTAGTAGTAGTAGTAGTAGTAGTAGTAGTAGTAGTAGTAGTAGTAGTAGTAGTAGTAGTAGTAGTAGTAGTAGTAGTAGTAGTAGTAGTCGTAGTAGTAGTAGTAGTAGTAGTAGTAGTAGTAGTAGTAGTAGTAGTAGTAGTAGTAGTAGTAGTAGTAGTAGTAGTAGTAGTTAGTAGTAGTAGTAGTAGTAGTAGTAGTAGTAGTAGTAGTAGTAGTAGTAGTAGTAGTAGTAGTAGTAGTAGTAGTAGTAGTAGTAGTAGTAGTAGTATAGTAGTAGTAGTAGTAGTAGTAGTAGTAGTAGTAGTAGTAGTAGTAGTAGTAGTAGTAGTAGTAGTAGTAGTAGCAGTAGTAGTAGTAGTAGTAGCGCCAGAACCGCCGACGCCACGCCGTAAGTGAAGCAGCAGCAGAAGCAGGCAGCAAGTCGCCGAGACAGCAGCAAAAGCAAGCAGGCACGGAGATGAGGGCGGGGCACTGGGGAGTTCTTTACATCTACATCTATATCTACACCTACATCTACATCGACACCTACATCTACATCTAGACCTACACCTACATCTATCCTATGCTATGCTATGCCATGCTATGCCATGCTATGCTATGCTATGCTATGCTCGTTATCATGGGTGTTATGCTAGGCTATGCTATGCTATGCTATGCTGCTGCGCTATGCTATGCTATGCTACTGAGCTAATGCTATGCTATGCTATGCTATGCTATGCGATGCTATGCTAATGCTATGCTAGGCACCGTTAGCATGGGTGTTATGCTGTGCTATGCTGCTGCGCTATGCTATGCTCTGCTCTGCTCTGCTCTGCTCTGCTATGCTATGCTATGTTATGCAATGCTATGCTATGCTATGCTATGCTATGCTGCGCAATACTATGCTGGGCTAGGCTAGGCTAGGCTATGCTATGCTATGCTATGCTGCGCTATGCTATGCTGCGCTATGCTATGCTATGCTATGCTATGCTTTTGCTTAGCCTTCGCTTTTGCCTTCACTTTTGCCTTTGCTTTTGCTTTTGCTTGGCACCCAGGGAGCGCCACTGGGGGAACCGCGCGTTTGCTTTTACCTTTGCTGTTGCTTTTGCTTGCTCCCAGGGGACCAGGGGAACCGCCCGGGGCGCGTAGCACTGCCCGGCCCTTTAAGCCAAGCGAGTAAGAACCCTTCTAGGCAGAGCCTAGGTAGGGAAAAAAGGGATCGGTCCGTCCCTTCAGGGGAACCCAGTACGTGTCCGTTCGAGGATGGTGTGCCCCACGTCCAGACAATTTTGTGCGCCTCAGGATTGTCCCGGGTGCACCCAGTGCGTGTCCCCTCGAGGATGGTGCGTCCCAGGACCCTCCCTGGGTATCCTATGCGTGCCGGTTCGAGGAGGGTGCTGCCCATGTCTAGACTGTGGTGGTGTCATATTGTGTCCGAATCGTTGTTTTGTAAGTGTGGCCCCGCGGTTTTTGGTCTGACTCGAACACGGCTCCGCGCCACGCGCGCTAAGGTGTTCGACGAGGGCGAGTGCGTTTGGGACCCTTCTCGTGATTTCGTAGGGAGCGAGTCCGACTGACGACGTGTGGAAGATGTCCTTGAACGTCGCTTCGCTCTGAGGTCGGCGCTTCTTAGTCTGACTCTGAATGGGCTGATGTACAACGAGACGCTGTCACCAGCCTTTGTCACCAGCAAGCATGGCCGCCGACGCGGTGGTAGATTTTCTGTTCGGCTGCTGATGCGGCCCCTCGGGCCAAGGATATGAGAAAGGCGGTCGCCGACACCAGGCAGGTGATGCTGAATTATCGGTGAGATTTGGACCAGGTGAGCCCCGGCTCCTCCAACGAGTACTTCTGCTTGTGAAGCTTCGGCGTCTCCATCGCCGAGCTCGTGGCCAGTCGAACGGTGCACTTGCGTAAAGTATGGCAGGGATGTGGCGATGCTCGCCTGGCTGGCTTATCATATTGGTCCAAGCAGTTCTTGGCCACATTGGGTGCTTGTCAGCCTCGATCCTCCCCCGCGCCAACTTCACCCCACGGTGTTGGGTTGGGTCAGGTGTGCATTAAGTGCCCCGACATGAAATCATAACAACTGTATTGATTGGCTTTGTGCGTCGGGACCGCTACCTCCCTGAGTGGGGCCCAAAACGACTTTGCCGGTGAATCGCATGCTTGTCGGAGACTCGGGGCTCCAAGCGATGAGCTCCTGGCGACGACGGCTGGCAGATCGGGCGACTCCTCCTTCACCGCAGGGGCGTTCGTTTCCCCCGTTTCTGCTGTTACTGGTTTTTCCGAGACCCGGGCGACCGCAACGACTGGCGCAATGCCATCGGCACCTTGCTGCGAGTTCCGCTTGGCGCC